TCATCGTCATCGTCATCGTCATCGTCATCGTCATCGTCATCGTCATCGTCATCGTCATCAACAAAAACAACAACAATAACAATAACAGTCTATGATAACGATAACAAAAGCAATAACAATAGCAATACTTTTATCGTCTTTTCTTCACCGACAGTTACTTGGCTTAGCTCTCTTCATCCTGGGATGTTTGGTCAAGTTTGGCTCCGACAACATAGAACAACATTTGTCGGACAGCTTATCAGGCACTTCCAGGTGAGCTCCTTTATAGTAAAATCCAGTGCACACTGCAAATATGATTCGGTCGAATTCAAAGAGATTATACTATTTAAGTAGTAGAGTTTCTGACAATGATGTCCCCCCCACTACCCCCACGAAAACGAACGGGCGCTGCGTGTGTCCACTCTGAGACATGCGCAGTTCAAGAGACGGTGAGTACTTTTCGAGACTCACATGGAGGCGTCTCAACGGTCTTTGGAGGAAATTAACAAATTTGAACTGAAATATGGGGGCATGGTGGTGTTAATATACTATAGCTCGTGGGTGGTGGGCTGCGGCTCAGATTGTTTATGTAAATGTAGCACGCCAGCCAAGCCGATGGGTGAAAGGAGGCCCCTGTGTCTGACCAGAGAGTATTTAATTATATTTAAGAGTCTCTGGTCTGACACAAGTCAGTGACGTCACTACTGTGGGCTCTAGTATCATAACCTCTTTGGTTCCAATAGAATCGTGTCTAGCCAGATTTTTCTCCATGGAGAGGTAAAATCTACCATTATGTCACAATAATAATAATATTATTAGACCGAATTCGATCGAGACCTTCAAAGACAAACACGTTCTAGATTTAGTGAGAGTATCAAAATATGAGCCTCGTGCTAATCTTATAGGCTTACTGTATGAATGGATCTTGTGACAATGAAATAATGAGAAGTTTTAATTTTAGTAAAGAGTTTTGATTTTGTTTTAGTTTTAGTGGGGGTTTTACGGGGCTCGCAACTGCATATAAGGTGATATGAGCGCCAAGGGGTGGATGTCAACAGACAAGTCCTTACAGGGAATCAGGCTTACTCTGCTCACCTCTCTAGCTTTAGCAGGACGAAATCTGCTTCGACTACCAAGGCACCCATGAAATAGCGGGTCACAAGAATGTGACAAACAGTCAAAAGAAGTAGAGGAAAAATGAAGATAGTAAGGATATTATTAGGAAAGAAAAAGCAGCAGTTCCCTGTTGCAGTGCAGGCACAGTTATGAGCATGACATTGATGAATCAGCCCGTTCACAATTCTACTGGGCATAAGAATACGTTAATGTCCCCGCTCTGGGAATGACCTAAAGACACTTCAGTCAGTAGCACCGCCCCAGGGGGTATTAGTAAAGAGTTTTACGGCACTTGCAACAGAAATGATTATGTTATAATGTTAAGCCCTGAATGCCCTACTGCCTTCTTCTGTTGTCCTTTCTTTTTCGTTACTCACTCATACCACAGCACGAATTCCAACATGTATCGTGGGTATCACCCATCTCCCTTCTCTCTCCCACTACCACTACCACTACTACCACCACCACCACCACCATCACCACCACCACCGTAACACCACCACCGTAACACCACCACCACCACCACAACAGTAACACCACAACCACCACCACCACCATCAATAACAATAACAAAATCATCATCATCATCATCATCATCATCATCATCATCATCATCATCATCATCAT